GATATTTTTGACCTGAGATTACATCGACTGGGACATTTCATTTTTGAAAAAGCCACATCTCCATTTTTTAAGAAATCGTCTTCATTTTGAAGATTTTGTCTCAGCAGTGTGATGCCAGTTTACCCACAATACCCTTTTCTTCCAAGAGATTGGAGCTTGCTATCACTTTCTCCACCTGTAATTAATTCCTGAAAGGTTTGCAGCTTTCACCAGATATTTTGTGTCAGGAACGCACTCTTAATCATCACTTTGTGGCTCCACAAACAGGAAAATGGTGTCTCATTAAGGCATAATAAGCCTTTCTGGTCTAGGTTGTGGGTGTGATTTGAACCTTTAGTTCCCAAACCACAAGGCCAGTGTGGTCCGGTTGCTGGGAGGCAGAGCAGCCCGGTTTCACTTATTAACTAAAAAAGCAGGAAATCTGAAAAGAGATGAGAAACTTCCCCAAACCACTTCCTAGATTTTGAAAAAAAAACACACACATCATAAACCAACAAGATAATGGGAAAAACAAACACAACTATAAAAAGCATGTCATGTTTTTATAGGGCTTGGATCATGAATCATTAGAAGACAGCAAATCTGGAGGAAACATTGTTGTCAAGAGTTAAACATAAAACAAACAGACATTGTAGAAAAAGTAACTTTTTAAGTGTTTTCTAACCTTAAAGTTTACATATTAGCATTGGACAGGTGTTTTTTTTAGCACAGAAGCTCACAGAAGCACAAAAACAGAATATTGACTTGATATCAGTAAACTAAAGCATTTTATGACCCTTTTGTGTTCCACTTTTGCATAAACCTGTCAGCAACTGACACATTATCAGGCATCAGCACAAGAAAACCAATCAGAGGACAGCAGGAGCGGTCATATTTGGGGCGGCTGCCACTCACCTTTCTTGGCATCTTCTTGGCAGGTCACGGCGATCACCTGAGCCAAGGTGATGAGCAGGCAGACGGTAATCCTAGAGAGTAACGAGGGGCCCATGTCTGCATGCCAGACATGCAGCGTCCTCACACACAGCTGCTGCTAGACAGACAAGGAAGTCAGAAGAGAGCCCAACCCCGAGCTACAGCATCCAGACTGAAAAAATCCAAATATCCCTGAGTGGAACAGGCTCCTGGATGAGCGATCACTGCAAACTGAAACAAGCTCCCTCTTTACCCCCTCCACCTCCCTCCTTCTCTCTCTCTCTCCTCCTCCTCTATCATCATTTTTTCTTGCTTCATTTCAAAGCCAACCTCCTCCTTGCGCTCTTGCGGATGCCTTGAAAGATGTCGCTAATTAGAGGCTGCATTAAATTTGTCCAACTGAAAGGACTGATGAAAGAAGATGGGATGGATGATGTTGTTGGAAAAAAAAAGACTTTTGAAAGCTCAAGTTTTTCAGGATACCCACATGTAGGACTCACTGTTACTGTTCAAGAATGATGTCTCCTTGACATAAACAACCAGATGTTTCATATCTTGATGATTCAAGAACCATCACAAAATGCCATCATTTTTTCTGCTGTACCAATTGAAGTTTTCTTCTTCTTTCTGGAGTGTATTGGAATATTATACATATATAATGATATATATAGTTATATCTGTGATATTTTCTATGTCTGCTGCTGGGAAAAAGATTTTTTTTACTGTTTTTAAACTCTGTAATTGTTTCCACCCAGTTTTAGAAATGAAAGCTAGGTGAAAGTCTCTATTGAGCGAAGTTTTTATGGCCCGCGTTTTGGTTGAGTCTCAAAGCACTCATCGACTCCGTTTCCTGCAGCATAACAGAGCTGAGAACTCTGATGAACCCACCAAAACAGCTGCTTCCTGGTCAATGTAGTCAGATATTTCACTGGAGACCAAAACAGAGCTAAAAGAAGAGTAAATATTGGATCCTCCAGCCACCTGAAACATGGGCCGTCAAATAGATGCTAATGTTGCTATATAGTGTCCACTGGATGTATAAATCAAAATCAACAAACGCTGGATTAACCTCAAGAATACAATTCATTTGTTTGTTTTTTGTTTGTTTGTTTATTGGGATTTTTGCAGGGATATTCAATACTTGAGATAAAGGAACAGAAACATGTTTTTTCATAAAGATGTGGACAAACAAACTGTTTTCCTAATTTTCACATTTTTGGATTTCCAGCTATATTTAAAAGAAAAATATTTGCAGAATTAGCTTTGCTGTTACGATAGCAGTATTTACAAGTATAGATACTGGCTCATTTTACTGGTTTAGTACACGGTTCAGCCCTAGTAAACAGGACCCTGCTTCCAAGCGGACATACATATAAACCCCTAATCTGCACAACTATAAAATAAACACAGATACGAATGTGTCCAAACAAAATAATGCCTTCGGTTTACTTCTCTATCTACCTGAAATTTAACTTGCTGACCTAAATCTGTGCGCTCCAGCTTGAGCGGTTTACAATGTGCATGTTACATTCATCTGATGTGTTTTCCAGTGCGACACTCTGCCAAGTCGGTGCGTCAAGCAGATCGTCAGTCCCTGAGGTGATGTCCCAGTGGTAGCGAGCAAAACAAACATCACAACTCCTTTTTCTGCCATTTCCACTAGTAATTCCTACACAGAATATTCTTACTGCTACAAGGCTCTTGAATTGAGTTATCGAAGCCTTTATAAAGTCACATTTCTGTGCGTGGATGAGGTGGATTTCACTTGTTTCCAATGCTGAATAACTTGGGTCAGGAAGTGTTTAAGGTGCTTGAGGAACAGGCTGATTTTCCATTAAGAGCCACAGGGGACAGAGACTGAAGCAGATGGGAAGACAGTTCCTCTATCAGATGAGAGCTAAGCTTCTGTAGATTAATGCATCGTGATGAACTGGTGGTTAGAGAAGATATTCTTCAAAACAAAGGTCACAAGTTTCGACCCCTGAAGCAGACGTTTTTTGGTCTATTTCTGCGATACTGAGCATTAGACTGATTTAAAGCTGCAGTACTTTATGTCAGAGCTGTATTACTTCAAGCTGGTCTAAAAACTGAACCTGGACTCTGTTCAGTCTTGGCCGCTGTTTTAATTTTCCCTGTTTTTTTTGCACCTGGTTCACTTTTTCTAATAATCTGTCACAGCTGCTGTGAACAACTGACTGAGACAACCATCTTTGCATTGAGCTGTAAAACACACTGATGAACTGCATCAGTACGGAAGTCCTGTGTTTTTGTAAAGACTTGTACACTATTTGTCACCTCTTTTACATTCAGTCAACGGTGGTCAACATTCAAATAAGTATCCTTCTTTATTGCAGTTTGAAGTTGTTCACTGCAAAAAAGGAATGTCAAGAAAGTAAAACTTCTGGGAAATTATCCTTTTTTTGCAGTTTTGTAGATTTGTTTTGCATTAAAAGAATATTAAGAATATATATCTAACGTTGTCATAAAAAGATATCACAGCATTTCCTTTTCTTTATTTTAAGAGTAAGACCACCAGAGAAAGTCGTCTTAAACAAGCAGCTGTTTAGTTTTTCTTTGTTTTAATAAAAAATTCTAAAAATAAGAATGTTTCTGGTGCCTGCATTTAAGACAAAGTTCCTTATTTTTATTATGCCGTTTGAAGAAATTGTGTCTTTTTGCTAATTATTAATCTTAGATTAAAGGTACAAATCCTTAAATTCAACTCAATAAAGTGACAAAAATACTTATTTTAAGAAAGCCTATCTTTCATTGTTTGTAATAAGCACAACTTGCTTAATTTTGGGGCATTTTGGTCTTGTTTTAGTGCCCATTAAATCCATCTATGCTAGTTTGAATAATGTTAGTCAAGCAAAATTGGCTTACCTCACTGGCAGGTTTTTAAAATTATATTTAAGAATATTTGCCTTGTTTTGTATGCGTGTGCAGATTGACACCTAAATTAACAATGCAAACCTGTCTCCTAGAAATTACATTTTTATACAACTACAAACTACAAACTAATTAGCAACAGCAAGTTTTAAGGTTGCAGTTAACTCAGAAATTAAATAAATAAAATCTCCTACTGGTCTCCTCTGGTTCCTCGTTAGAAAATGTGCTGAGTTTGACCTGCTGCAACCTACACTCACTGGCTTGAACCAGGTGACTCCTGGTGAAAGTTGTGGGTACTTACTGATCCCTGTGTAATCCACTCTTACACACACAACTTGAGTGCTGGTTAAAATTAGATCCAGCCCCAAAAGTTCCTGAAATTTCGAAGAGCAGCCAAGGCTGGATGGGAGTGTAAATTGCAGCGTGATGATGGTTTTTTTTATACTATTACAAGACTTTACAGAGAGAAATTACAGAGAGTGTAATGTATAGAAAGCTAAAAACTGACCTCAGCTTTCGTGGTAAGAAAGCCTCCTACATGTGGCATTTAAAGCTGTCCGGCGTACAAGCTATTTCTGGATGTATAGACTAGACAGCAGCGTAACCACAGGAGAGATCAACCCATGAGTGTGCATGCAGGACACACACACACACACACTGTGGTGGACGTTATCCAAACTAAAAAAAGGCTGCAATGAAAAAACATTAGATCTGACAAAAAAAAAACACACAGAGACATCCCTAAAAAAAAAATAATCCAGGCTTTTGGAGAAAGGCTTGTGGCCAAAGCAGATGTTTCATGTATCGCAGAGTCAAAGGGGAACATAGCTACTGTGTAGGACAGGATATAGACTGTTTTAGCTTTAGTCAGCACATAAACTGACCCCAAGAAACCATGCTGAACATGTGCCATACTGGTAAAGAGTGTAAGACAATGCTCCTATAATGTGCTTTTTTTTTCACTTAATTTGTCATGTGACAGGAAGCTGCAGGCCTAACAGTGACCTATCAAGTTAACACACACCATCCCATATTCCCTTACACACTACCTGCATTATTTAACGCTTTACGAGTCTGAAAGAACACTCCAGAATTAGCAGCTCTGAGCTCTCCAAACAAGACCAGCGACATGGATCCAGCAGTGCTGTAGTCTCCCTTGGAGGTGTTTTCCCTGGTTTCATACTTATGAAGCATTTGAAATGTTCGCAGCAGCCACTAAGAACTTTGTGAAGCAGGTCGGGGACACGGGGAGGTTGATCCCCGTTCCGAGCCTGAGCGAGGCCGACCGCTACCAGCCCCTCAGCCTGGTGACGAGGAAGAGGAAGAGGCATTTCTGGAAGAAGAACAAGTACGCCTCAACCCCTTTCTCCCTGAAAGACATCCTGGTAGGGGAGAAAGAGATCACAGCAGGTAATGAAACAGAATTAGGAGAATCAACTTGATATTTTTGAGTATTTGTTCTTAAGTGTTGTTAAATTTGGCCTATCAAATAATCTTTTAACATACATGTTCCCATTTTTATCCCTTTAAGTAACACTGAGTGAGAAATTATAATAAATCTAACACATGTACACATTTTATACACATTGAAGAATACCTACTTTGAGTGTACTATTACGTTCTTCGATTGTTACTGCTGATGCATTGCAAACAATTTTTGAAAGTTACTTTAACTAAAAACATTTCTTTTTAAGACAAACTAAGTACAAAATTAAGTCAGTGTTACATCTACTAAAGCTACTTGATCAAGAATTGTTTAAATTACAAAATTAAGTTAGTTTTGCTTAAAAATACTTGATAAATAAACTTATGTTCATCAAGTTCATCATATGTTTTGAATTTGAAATATTAATTTGTAGCTGTGACTTTAAACTGTAGTAGGGCAAATATATAAAGAAGCAGATAATGGAAATACTGAAGTTTACAATAAAAAATGAATAAATAGGAACTATTTTTTGTTTTCTGGAACAGGAGTGTCTTCTTATCAGCTCCTCAACTACGAGGACAAATCGGACGTAGCTCTCAATGGCCGATTAGGAAACCACCTCATCAACGATGTGGGGTTCAACATCAGCGGGTCGGACTCTGTGGCCGTCAAAGCCTCCTTCGGCATTGTGACCAAACACGAGCTGGAGGTGCCCACCTTACTGCGAGAACTCAACTCCAGGTAGCACAACGTGCTTTCAACAGCTGCTCAGTGTACGCTCTTATCTTCATCATGGTGCTACTTAACTGATCAGTGTCATCTCTGTAATGTTTAATTAATAAGTTATATCATCTTTGTTTCTATTATTTATTTAGCTTTTTGAAAAAGAGAGATGAGCTAGAAGTATTAAGGGATCAGCTCATGAGTTGGATTTCCATAAATATATTTTTCTAAAAGCAAATTTGACAGTTAGATATCTGGATTAATTTTTCCATAAGTTGATACCTGACCTCTGACCTCCTTGTGACAGAGGGAATGTGAGAAGAGGGTTTCCCTGTAAGGATGAATAAATGATCATGTTATTCTACACTGGTACACATACAGAAGCTACATACATGAGGTCAACGTGAGACAGTAAATGGACTGTAGATGTCTGGCCTAAAGGTCTGTTGTAGTTGGAAATATCTGTTAGCCACAAGAATGCTAATGTAACTTACTGTTTCTTCAAGGTTCTTCACGATTTATAGCTACATGAAACCATTTTCCTTTCCCTTTTTTTCAGGAAAGTGGACCTGGATCACTGCCTGGTCCGTCAGTCCAAGGAGAGCAGACGCAGTGTTCTTTGTGTCGTTGTGGAGAGCATCCGCACCACACGTCAGTGCTCCCTGACCGTCCACGCCGGGATGAGAGGGACCACCATGAGGGTAAAAACACACACAAACACAAGTGTTAATATGGCGACGCAGTACATGGACAACCCCGACCGACCACCACCGGCAATTCATCCCAACCTGTTCCCAGTTTACTGCTTCATCAAGTCATTCAATTTCAAATTCATTAGGTTTAGGAGTCCGACCTTATAAAAATATCAAAATATTTTAAATATTTTAAAAAAATACTCCCTTGCTCAAGCAGATACAGCTAATGTTGGCTAATGTTAGTCATTGTGTTGTTAGCAAATATAAAATATAAGTTTCTGAGACAGTTTGCTGACTCCTCTCCACCTGTGTCACCATGCTGCAGTTTGGTGTTTATTATTATCCTGTAATTATGAGAAATAATGAGATATCTGTAAATCAAGATTTTCAAGATGCCTCACCAGACTTTGTCTCAAGCTGCTGATTCTTTCGCAGTTTCAGATCGACGACGGCAGAAATCCCAAAGGTCGGGACAAGGCCATTGTCATCCCGGCTCACACCACCATCGCCTTCAGCATCTGCGAGCTGTTTGTTCGACTGGACGGACGCCTTGGTAGGAACGATACCGGCATCAATCCTCATACATTCCCACTTCTCTAACAGATTTTTATACTTAGTTAGACCCAAGTTTGATGACCCTCTAAGAGAGTTTTCTAGTCCCTCAGACAGTTTTCAGACTCAGATTGACCCCCCAAGGCAGCTGGGAAAGACTCTTTTTATACCTCTCTCACCTATACCTATACCTATCTCATTAGAGACACATCTGCTTAGATCAGATTGTGTGTGGTGATAATATACCTAGCGAACGTGTGTCCCCTCCTTTTGAAATGAGTGTTAGAGAGTAAAGATATTCTCAGCTGAAATTAGAAACTGCACCTTCCAATGTTTTGCCAACTCCGACTTTAATCCACGACAAACAGAGAGTGTGGTGAACGTCAGCGGGGGCACTTAAAGGATGAGGAGTGTGGTTATTGTGGAGATTTAAGGCTTAACTCCCTTCAAGGTTGAAAGCTGCGTCCCACATGAAAAGCTGTGGTTGCATCAGTTGTGGTTAACACCTGAGGCTCCTCAGCGCTCTTCACGCCATACAATTCTTTTCTTAAATTGTACGCTGTAAAAATTTCTCCACCCCTAAACATTAAAGGGATCTTTTATTTCTTTAGAGTCGAGGTTAAATGATGAATTCACTCTAAAAAGTCACAAACATGGAAGGCTGCTTTATCTCAGAGGGTTAGAGTGGGTAATTTGTATCATCTTCAGGCCTACGGTGTATTAATCAATAAGGCCTCGCGACCCCACATAAAGCTTTTTGCGACCCCTAGTGGGTGTCCTGACCC